GAGGTTTGTTCCTGAAGCTCTTTGTCCTCGGATTTCATTTTGACTCTTTTTTGGAATCTTATCTTTATTGGGATCTATTCCACGTGGTTGTCATTCAGTTGACGTGGCCTTCTCATAGCTATCAATTTCAGATCATCTTTTCCGAAATCTACTATTCGTCGTCTTATACACCAATTTACTGGCGCCAACGTTGGACAGAATGTCGTCATCGCTGTTGCTGGCCTTGCGAAGGTTTCACATTTCTCCATATTTGTGACTTAGTCTTTGAACTTTCTTATTTTTTTCGTTTTTTGGCTACGCAGTAAGTCACACGATTAAGTTTCGTATAATTTAAGGTTTTCGCATGCGAACTGGTGGAAGAGGCCTTAGATATTCAAGCAAAAATGGACGGACCGGAAGAACCTTTGAAGCCAAATCATCTCCGTCTTGCTTACTACTCCCTCGAGCGCCAAGGCAAAATCTTTCCTCAGAATAGCCATCGGCGTAATCCTTTTATGTAGCTGCTGTTTATTCTCTGTTTATTCTCACTGCCACTTTTATATCACCTTTTTTATCCACAGTTTTACCTATCGAAATGAGCCGGGAGAAACCCCTGGAAATAAGGGCTTTCATTGGAACAAAAAATTACTGCATGCACACATTTCATTTTAGCAGTCAGCTGCTTCTGTTGTTCACCTGAGTTGTTGAGACGTTTTGAGTGTTGATTTTTTACCATTTTCAAGTATATATTAATCTAATATTATTGTCTAATATTTAATGATTACGTGTACATATAAGCATGTATAGGATAAATATTCAATTTTGCTCGCCTTATTTCGTTCCAAAGGCGTCTCGACGCAGCTGCATATCGCTTCTTTGTCACGCACATCTCGGTTTTCTAAGGAGCTACTTCTTTGAATTAAAAAATTTCGTGTCAAATTATCATGCCTTTTGAGGAGTTCCGTTCACGTTGGTAGGAGCGGAGAGAGCTGCCATCAAGGCGGTCTTTACTAGCCAATCTCTCCGTCTCAAGGGTTTTGATTGTGGTCCCCTAACAATGGATGATGTCCGTTACGTTTGACGCCTTCTGGTTTCATCATGATGGGGCATCTCCTAGGTGCCCTGCTCTTTGCATTTCGTAAAGCGACCTAAGGCTGGTGTTAGAGTCCGCGATCCGTCGTGCGAATCGCGCGACGGATCACAGAAATCACAAGTGCCCGATCAATACTGCGAGGTGCTCTCCAATCCCGCCGCCATTTCTGCTTGATGGTGATGGTTGAATGACGACTGTTCATGATTCTACTTGTTTCATATTCAGTGTTTCAAATGTTCAAATGAGGCACTTGCGATTTTGCGACTCGCGCGAATCGCGCGACGGATAACTCTAATACCAGTCTAAGCGATATCCTACGTGCATGTGTTGTTACTAAGATCATATTCAAAATAGAAACCGTTTCCTTCAATTCAGATGAACGGAGCGTCGTACACTGCGGTTGCCGTCACTATACCACCGCTCTAATGGCGTAATTTACCCGACGTATTGATCGCTCCTCGACCTTGCCAGATTGTATCGAGCCTCCAGTGCATCCCTTGACAACTGCAGCTCAGCCAGTAGGTTTCTGAGAAGCCGTTTTATTTTTGGGTTGTTTTTATACCACATACATGAGTTTGTATTTCCTTCAGCCAGCGTATTCGCAAGCGACCGTTCGTTCCGTATCCAGCTGTACAGGCTCATATAGAAGCTCATGGTTCCACACAGAATGCTATTGATAGTAAACCTAGCACAGTCCAAGAGTCTTTTGCAATTACACCAAAGCCTGTGAATGACACAAAGGTAAGATTCTTGCACTTGAAAAGTTTGCTTCAGCTTGAACCTTAACGCTGCGATCGACGATTGGTTGAACCTACAATTTTACGTTTTTTTTTCAACTGCAGGAGCCGCAAAAACCGGATTCGCATGATTCGCATCATAAGAAACATCACAAGCTGCCGTTGGCTCCAACATCATCAAAATGTTACAATACTAAACGAACTTTCAAGGTATAACTCCGTCCCGTACCTTTCGTACTATTGTAGTTGAAAAGTCTTGACGTCCTACGAACTATATGGTTTTCAGGTGATTATTGTAGGCGATGCAGGCGTGGGCAAAACATGCCTGTCGTTCCGGTTCTGTTGTGGTAGATTTCCCGAGCATACCGAAGCAACTATAGGCGTAGATTTCCGGGAAAGAAGTTGTGTCATAGAAAGAGAATTACTGAAGGTAAGATCATGACGTACTATACAAAAGTGAAGATTGTGCCTTCCTCTTCGGAAACTGAAATCAGTTGTTTAAGGTACAATTATGGGACACGGCTGGTCAAGAGCGGTATAGGCACTCTATAGTAGCGCACTATTACCGTAACGTCAATGCTGTGGTTTTTGTATACGATGTGACATGGTAATTCACTACGTTGGATTTTTTTCTCAAGTTCATTTTCAGCTTTCAGTTCAGCTTTGAAGATGACTGCCATTTGTAAAAATTTTGACGTGTTTCTGTCTAGCCCATCATCTTTCGCCTCACTTCGCTCATGGATCAATGAGTGTGAAAAGAACGGGCTCACAGCTGATTGTGATGTGCCACGAATTCTTATTGGAAATAAATGCGACCTAAAATCGTCGAAATCGTCGCGTGTTGATACGGATGCTGCTCAGGTGAGATTCAAAACCCTACATTGTTTCCCGGTTGTTTGCTTTTACTTAGGTTTGCTGTCTCCTCGAAGTAGGGATGCTCACTCGTTCCATATCAAGTGAAACAACTAATGTTTTGCTAGCTTTCCCCAATATCTGGGAGTGTTTCTTGTTTTTTTTTCTCTCCCATAACTTCAGTAATATTCTTTAGGTGTTTGCTGACCGTAACAATATGGCACTGTTTGAAACGTCGGCTAAAGCAGATTCTGAAGCAGATCATGTGGAATCGATATTCCTAACCTTGCTACACAAACTGCAGCAGAGCAAACCTATGCATGTACAGAGTGAAGTAGAGCGACAGGCGAAGGTGGGTTCGAATGCCCCACATTTCCTTAATTAAGAAATGGTTCTTTTTTCTACCACCAAATCCCAAACGCTCTTTGTCCCAAGTATGCAGCAGGTCAAGTTATGCTTCGCCGAACAAGAAAGGGACCCTATCCTGGTAAGGTATGCTCTCCCCGAAAACTCAGAGGAAGGCCACGCACCGCTTCTTAGGACGGGGAGATATATCCCGAGAACCGTAAGCGTAGCCTTTCCACGAGACTTCGTCGGAGAGGAGCATATCTTACTAGGATGGGGTCCTCTCCTGTTCGGGGAAGCATACCTTAGGGTCCCCTCGACGTGCGGATTTTATTGATTTTGTCCAAAGAAGCATTATTGAGCGTAGTTTCATATCAGTACAATGGATGTGGTATTTCTTGTCTTCAGGAACAAGAACGTCTAGTACTGAAGGCCAGCGAAGCCAATGAATTGACCGAAGAGGGCTGGTGCTGCTAGCGATAGCAGATTACGTTAGTACTGCTTTTTGTGATAATTATTTATTCGAAGCTGAAAACAATCTATTCGTAGGGTACGGAGAGTTCTTTGTGAATTTTTAGGGGTTATGTTATCAGTGCTGTGTGATGTTATAGACTTTAATGTGCAAATTAATGCTAATTTCATGATTTATGATATTAAAAAAAAACTTATCAGGGTTGTGTTCTAGTATTCGGATTATGAATGAGTTGGGTGCTGTCGCGAGTTCTTAATGATCCATGTTTTTCCTCTTCTTGGCTCGTATTTCATCGCCGTAAAGTAAACTCACCGTGATTAAATTTAGGCGGGAGGACGGAATTTTGCTTAAATAACTAGTGTGATTTTCGACTTGTAAGCATTGTTTCGAAATTGATTAGTAGCTCTGGTTTTTTAAAGGTCAAAAACTCTCAAACATGGGTCAGCTTGAAGTTTAGCTGTGTGAGCTGATGAAGAAGAGCGCGAAGAAAATGTGAAAAACTGAATATCTAAATTTTCTTACCAACCATTTACGACCTGAATGATTTTAAAATATCAATTCTTCGCATTGTTTGGGGTTTCTGGGGGAACGGCGAAAAGTGAGTCGTTTCTATGAAGGTGGTGCAGGAAAAGGCTTTCTAAAAAGATTTGATTCCTTGAATCAGGGAAAAAATTTCAGATGGTATTTCTCATTAGTGCATTTCATCCATATCTTACTAGAAGTCGAGGTCAATCTTCGTTCGGGATTTTGCGGTGATTCTTTTTTTCCTATGGGAGGTCTCATTAGCTTCTGCGGTGTTTTCTATTCCCATGTCAGTCAAATTAGTGATGTCAAGCTCTAACGCGTGCGGTCGCGTTGCAGCCTGGTCCACATAGATCAATAAATCGATCAGACCGCATCCAGAACGCCGCGCACGCTTACGCGGTTGTTTCTCATACTTGGAAATGATTTTTTTAACTCATCACCTTTCATCTTAGATACTGATTTTAATCTGGTGTTATGATGTGTGATATGACAATTTGTTCTAATTATTGTTCCAATAAAATTTATATTTATTTATCTATTTATTTATTTTCGACGAGTTTTTATCTCTGTATGGGCAACATGAAAAGAATCGTAGAGCAGAATTAAGGCACACACACACACGAAAAGGGAATGAACAGAAAGATGAAAAGTGAGAGAAAAGAGGTTCAAGAAGGCAACTGCCACATGGGCCAAACTGAAAGCAAAACCGATTGAGCTAATACAATCACAAATAGATTACATATAATAAAGCCTGCTCCTAAATAAAGCACAAAAATAAAACGAATCGTTTGTTAAGTCCATGATGACTGGACAGTTTTGGTCGAGGACCTGAAACGACTTGGATGATCTGCATTTTGTTCCAGATTAGTAAGATTTGTTCGATTTCGGCAAAGCTAGCTGTTAATCTTACTTGCCGCATCTAGTCGCTTAGACGCGGCAAGTGAGATCAGACTATTTGCGCGTAAAGCTCACTCTTATGTACACACAACAGTGGGCGGGCAAGTGTGAAAAGTGGTCGCCGTTCCAAATGAAATTCTCCATTTTTGAATGAAAATGAATTTGAAAAATATAAATGAAGATGGTAGCTCGAATTGCTTCTGAGCAAAGGCTTTTTTTTTTGGAAAGAAGGCAGTTGCCCCATGTGTTTGTAAAAGAGAAAATGGAGTTGACTGAAGAGGCGGAGGGGATCTACTATGACGTTTTGGCGACTACCAGATTTACTAGTAGATTAACTGTTGGTGTTGTTTATTGTGAGTTGAGTTGTTGTCGTTGTCATTTACTGGAAACGACTGCCGTTGTTGTAAGATTTGATGGCGAAGGGATACAAGGAACAAGTATTCAGCGACTTAAGGAATCACGGATCCAAGACCGAATCATGTGTTCTGAGAAATGTGGAAGTGTTCGATGAATGGTAGGATGTGTGGCGTCATCGACTTAAAGGAATCTTGCGCGGAAAATTCTTGCACTCTTTCCTAACATGAATATGTCAGTTGTGATCACTGGAAATAGCACACAAAGTTTCACGCATGAAGATTCGGTTTCTGAAGAGAAACAAACGTACAAAAACTACACGTTATGGACCATCGAAGGACCAGGAGGCAGAGCCAGGCGAGGCATGGAAAGAAGACGGCGTTTGGCCGGCTACGTACCAGGCGACGCAATGAGAGAATCGGGTTAAAGCGCGCGATTTCGGAGAGGAGACAAATCGATCGATGGAATAGGATGGAGTAGAAGTGTAAGATGTGAATGCAACGAAGCAGAAGGCCAGAAAGAGCTTCTAGTGAATGCACTCCAAGAACCAAGTTTGAGCATCCCCGTCGCCAGCATTCGTGAAAGACGTCCGTGGGGCAATTCGAACGCGTAGCAGCCCTTTTCGAGGTTTTTCGAATTTCTAATCAATACGAAAGCAATACTTCGGTTCTTTTCACTATTATCGTGGATAATGGGTCTCAAGTCAGTGGTTTATGGCTGAAATAGAATCATAATTTTTCC